TTTTCACATTTTGATGTTTCAATTTTAGAAGTTTCGTTTACGCTTTTGTTACTCTCCTATTATATCCGATTTATGCTCCGATTTTTATTTCATCAGGGAAGTTGAAAACGCTGTTAATTACAATTTTCATGTTGATACTGTATATTGTAATAATTAGACAACCAACAACCGACAATGGCAGGGATGACAAATCAAGGATGATTTACGGGAGTAGTGCACTCGTGCATAGTTCAATTGCATAGACCACTCACATCGGCTTGTTCCTAGTAATTTTTCACTGCTTCACCAATGAGATTATTTTTAATTAATTCTTTAAGTAAATTAATTAATTAACTAATTAATAATCTTTTATCATTAGAGTCATCTAGTCAAAAGATGAGTTAAAAATTGCATTAACATGGCACAGTCCAAAAAGACTGGTGATAATAGAACGATACAAATTCTATAATATAAATCAAGATAGTAACGAAAATATTAAAACGTATCAAACCAAACTGAAAAACATATCAAAATATTGTGAGTTTGAAAAATTTCTGGAAGAAATATTAAGAGACAAATTTGTCTGCGATTTAAAATTAGATTGAATTAAACAAAGATTGTTATCAGAAGATAAATTAATTTTCGAAAAAGCAAAATGCATAGGATGGAATTAATAGAGTTCCAAACAAGAATCATGATGTCTGGATGATGAAGAAAATATAGTACAAGTCAACTGATTGGATTATAAAAATAAGAATTATGGGAAACTATATGAAGAATACAGAATAAATCAAGTAAGCTAACTACAAACTAGTCGAACTATACTCAAGGAAATCAGCAGTCGAATTATGTCCAAGCAGGTCAGCAGTCAAGTAATAAAGTATTACCAAGAAAGAAGTACAAGGATTCACAACAATTATAACAAATATCCGGCCATAAATTGGAGATGTTTTGTATATAATCAAATAGGTTACATATTCAAATCCATATATGCAAAAACAAAGTTCACAATACAGATTCTGTTGAAGAAAAACAAAATCAAGGTAATAATGTCCTTGAATTGGGATTAATAGATATAAATCAAATCGGTAAGTCTAAAAACAGTTTGAAAGTCGAATTGTAGAAAGCAAATTAGTATGTATGGAAATAGATTCTGGAACATGCAAGTCTGTAATTCATATCGACGATTACAAGGAAAAATTTAGCAACATTAGAAGCGGTATATTTCAAGTTAAAGTCGTCATGGGTAAAAATGTTAATATTATAGGACAAATTCCGGTTAATATTAAATATCAATGTAAAAAATATGTTTTACCATTAATTACTATAGTAACCAAGTTTGCAATTCAGTAAGTTTGCATGATTATTATATAGATATAGGTCGAAATTGATTAGATATTATTAATCGTATTGGAAGAAATCCATTATTAAACTAGTCGAGTCAAAAGATGATTTAAGAGAGATAAAAACGGAGCGTACGGATCAGATAGAAAAATATATCACAGATATTAAAGAAAAGTTCTTTAAAATATTCTCAGACACAGATTCACGTATATCAAGGATTTTAAAGTTAATATTCAATTGAAATCGAATGTAAACATGACTTGGCACTGTTATATAATTTTTTTGTCATTATTCAGATGTCTCTGTTTTATAACAACAAAACAGCTTTACATAAATGAGATATTCTGATATAAAAATATGATAATAATAATTTTGTCATATGTCTTTATTATATATTTAGCACATAATATAATTATGTAAATTAAATTATATTACATCCATGTACCATTCTATGAATGAGACAAAATAAATATAAAATACATTTATAACAAACACAAAGCCATAATGGAAAAAGATGTAAATTATACATATTTTAGTTACATCTGCAGGAATGTATACTGTAGTCTATAACAATTATATCACTAAAATTATGAGATTGTACTTACTTATAAAATTACATCACTACAATGTAACCTAATTTCATAATACGTCTGTTGGCGATCTTGCTGAGCGCACGAAGAAATCGTAATGGCGTGGCCAGGCGATCACCGTCCGAGCGTTTCCCCGTTCGGTATTAATGCTTCGAGGGCACTCGAGAAAAATGAAATCTTCTCTGCTTTTCAAATTTTTTATTAAAAATGCCTCGAGAGCGGGCGAACGTGTTTCACAGCGGATACGGAAAGGATCTTAACGGTAGCGCGGTGATAATTTTCCACGAGACGAGACGCGTGCAGAAGATGAAAAAAACAGTTTGTTTTGTTGCCAAGACGATCTGATATTATTTTTTTAATCGATTACGCGTGACGCATGCGTCGTTTAGCAATCGACATTTCGTCATCGATTCATCGATTTTTCATAGATGCGATTAGGCGATATAACTAGACGTCGTGAATTATAGAATCATACCGAACACGCCGCTCGCCTTGAAAGGATTGACTTTCAATGTGACAAGCATGAGTTCGTTGGCGTAACATGAAACGCGAATTACTCTGATACGATTTAATATCACATTTAGTCATTGCACTGAAAATCAACGCGTATTAACATCTAAGTACGCAAGCGATATAATAAGTGAAAAATAATATAATAAGGCATTCTTAACGTAAAGGAGGCCTGTGAAAGATACGATATAATCAGAAGGTAATAACTAAAGACACTTAAGATTAAATGTTTGATAACACATCGAGATTTAAATTGGTAATATTGATAGTTTAGACAGTGGCCTCATGTAGGAACCCTTGGCAGTCTTGATAGTTGCGGTGCACGCGATGCCGTCGAGACCAGGATGAACTTCTTGGATCCGTCCCATTGCCCACTGAAGCGGAGCTAGGTTCGGCTGCCTTATGAGCACAAGTTAATTGTTCGATAGCTGAGTTCCCTTGTTAGTCATTTTTGGTTCAGGCTTATAGGGAATGAAGATATTCGTTACTCCACCTGTGCCAAAAATGCTGCCGGATTTGTTCTACGCGTTGCCACCGTAGTAGCCTGTTTTCGTTAACGTCGCTCAAGTCAACGCAAGAAAGACCATTTAAAGTCGTGCCAACCAAGAAATGTCGGACTTAGATACGCTAGATCGTTAGGATCGGCGCTTAATGGTAAGAGGAGACGCGAATTGAGGATCGCCTCAATTTCACAGAGGTACAATTTCGTATGCATTTCTTCAAAGGTCAAATGAGCCTTGCCCATGATTCGAGTCATGTGGTATTTTGTAGATTTTATGGCTGCTTCTCATAACCCTCCAAAGTGAAGTGCATTAGGCGGGATGAAGCTCCAAGAAATTTCTAATTCGCGAAGAAAATTTTTAATCTCTCTTTAAACTGGACTTGTGTGAATCATTGTACATGTCGTATAATTCTTGAATTTGTTTATGCGCGCCCACGAAGGTGATCCCGTTGTCTGAATATATGTGCGCGGGTCTACCCCTACGCGAAATGAATCGCTTAAAAGCGGCAATAAAAGCTTCGGACGTAACGTCACTTACTAACTCTAGATGGACCGCCTTCGTGGCGAAGCACACAAAAAGTGAAACGTATGCCTTGTGACTCCGCGCATTTCGACGCTTTTCCTCACGTAACAAGAGAGGCTCGGCATAGTCTACACTGCAACGGGAGAAAGGTCGAGAAATGTTAACTCCGCTGGCTGGTAATAAGTCCATTAAGGCCTCTGATTGATTAGGTTTAGCCCTAAAACAGGTATACATTTCTGTATTATTCCACGTACGGTGGATCGCAATGATAGCGGCCAAAAGCGCTGGCGCACAAAAGCCATCGTGGCTTGCAAACCCGCGTGTAAGTTTCGTGTGTGTTCACGTTCTATAATACGCTGAGTTAATATGTGTTTGCGTGGCAGGAGAATTGGATGGCACGCATTGAATGCGAGATTCGAATTTTTTAATCTTCCGCCAACTCGCATTAGTCCGTTTTCATCTAAGAATGGAGATAGCGATAAGATATTACTAGAAGTATTTACAATTTCGTTCTTGACTAGTGCTTCGCGATAAAACGCTCGCTGTTGCACTGTTCTGCAATCTAAAGCGGCAGATGTTTCAATGGGAGACAAGAAAGTAGATATTCTGTGCTCCCGGTGAGCCTTAGATAATCTTAAACAATATGCTATGATGCGGCATATTTTGTTTAAATTAGAATGCTTGTTTGTTAAGTTGTCAATGATGCAGGAATGGAAAGTGGAAACGGCTACGCGGATTTTCCTTTGTTCGGGAAGAAACTTTGGGCGGCCAGTGTTCTTCATTTCATTTTAGAAATTCGGGACTATTCCACCACCTCTCAGCATCGATTAAGTTATAGAGATTTATCCCACGCGACAATATGTCGGCAGGATTGTCGGGGGATGCGATATGACGCCAGCGTTCGATTTTTGTTAGGCGCTGAATTTCACCCACCATATTTGCCACAAAGACTGACCACCGCCGCGAGGAGAATGTTATCCAGTTTAATGCAATCGTTGAATCCGACCATAGATAAGTCGGGCATTGCGAGAGTTTCAAAGACTCTCTAACCTTGTTGATTAAGCGCGCCAATAGTAAAACGGCCGATAGCTCTAATCGCGGTAACGAAACGGTTTTGAGCGGCGCGACGTGAGATTTTGAGCACAGCAACTTGGAGTGATGGTCGTTGAGACCGAGCTTGGTGTGAAGGTATATGCAGGCTCCGAACGCGCGTTGCAAAATCCGTGCACTTCCACGATTGGCTGATGAACATTGAATTTAACGCGAAGAATTTTTAATTGATTCAAATTACTCATCTGTGTTCGGAAAGCGATCCAACGAGTGTGGATGTCCTGAGGAACTCGTCCCATTGGATGGCCAATTGCCACAAATCTTGCAAGAGCTTTGCGATCACAATGACCAGAAGGCCCAAAGGATCGAACAGTTTAGCGACCTCGGAAAGTATGATTCGTTTTGATACAAGAAGTTCTGAGGTCCTGTATCAAGTTTGCAGAGAAATTGAAACACATCCTGACACTGATTCCATTGCATGCCCAGAATACATGAGTCCGCATTATCTCTGATAATGACCAGCACGATAATCATAATTGTCTGTTTCTAATAATTCAGGGCAATTTGAGGTCCATTTGCTTAATTCGAATGCTCCTAATTTTAATAGCTGAATGGTTTCATCGCGAATTAGTTTTAATTCGTCGACTGTATCCGTTCCGGTGAGCATGTCATCGACATAAAAATCTCGAAGGACGCATGCTGAACCGCGAGTGAATTGATGAGCGTGCTGCTCGGCCAAATGCTTGAGGCATCTGATGGTCAAGAATGACGCGGAAGCTGTACCGTAAGTGACTGTAGTGAGTTCGTACGTATCGACATTAGCAGAAAGATCGTTGCGCCAGAGAATTCTCTGCAGGCACGTCTGAGAGGGATGTATTAAAATTTGCCGATACATTTTTATGATGTCAGCGGTGATGACATAAGTGAAAAAGCGGAAACGCATTAAAATTGAGATCAAATCTTGTTGAATGGTAGGTCCCACTAGAAACGCATCGTTTAATGATACGCCGGAACTACTGCGGCAAGATGCATCGAATACAATACGGATTTTCGACGCTTGCCTGATCATTTTGAAGATGCAATGATGAGGAAGATAAAATGATATTGTTTCTTTTGCAATGGGTGGCTCCATGCGTCGCATGTGTCCCAGCGATAAATATTCGAGAAACGCCGCGTATTGAATTTTAAGAATAGGATCGCGCTTGAAACGTCTCTCGACGCTCAATCGCTTGAGAGCAGACTCACGCGAATCGCCAATGTTATTTAACATTTGCTCTCTGACTGGAAGCTTGACTATATATCTACCCTGAGAATTTTGAGACACGTTGTTTAAAAAGTGATGCTCGCAAATGTTTTCCTCCATTGTGTAATTGTGTGGTTACGTGGAGATGTCGTCCAGGCACGACTGACATGTTCGTGTAATTCCGCATTGGTTACGGACGCGTGGAACGAGTGGACCTTTGCGACGGTCGATATGGTGCTGTCCAAACGACCCGCTAAAATCCAGCCTAATTATGTTTTTTTGGAAAGTTGGGTGCTTGTTCGAAGACTTGATTTGATCAACGCATATCAAATTCCAAAACAAGGCTGCACCGATTAAAAGATCAATATCCGATGATGTGTGAAATCGCGAATCAGCTAAACGAATGTTGCGTGGAAGATTAAATTTGTCCCGCCCCAAAGAAAACGTCGGAATTTTGCCAGTAATCCGATCAGTAACGATAGCCGCGGTGAACGAGTTGAGTCGCGATTGTAATTTGATTTCAACCACGTGATTAGTCGAGATTACCGTGCTGTTGACGCCGCAGATCGAGAGACTTGATGGACACGTTTCTAAACCGAGAGCTTCTACCAATTTCTTGATTACGAAGTTCGCTTGCGATCCGCAATCCAACAGGGCTCGACACGCCCTGTGCGAATCGTCGCTGCCGCAGATGAGCACAACCGCAGTCGAAATTATGACTTGTTCATGATTGAACTTGTTTCCGTTATTAGATGTTTCTAAAGCATAATTCGATAGGAGGGAAGGGAGAGGAGTTGCCTTAGGTGCAACTTCCTTATCGGTATTGTTAGTCGATGAGTCCGCGGCAGAGAGCATAGCGTATTGTGTTTTGCCTGGCAGACCTTGCATTGATCGGAAGTGCATTTACTTGATGCATGAGAAGAGGAGCGCAAACAATTGACGCAAAGTTTGCGACTGCGAATTTCCGCGAGTCTTTGTGATACTGGAAGGGCCACAAAATTTTTGCAATAATAAATGACGTGTTCTCCTTGACAGAAGTTGCATTTAGGTTTAACGGTGACCGCGCACGATGTCCGCTTAGCATTTGGCTGCGACTTTGCCTTGACCTTCCTTGCGGAAGTGGAGCCAGCCCTTATGATAGGCCCGAGCACCTGACGTCGATGAGCGATAAAATTTAACAGCTGCTTAAGTGATGGCAGCTCGTTGCCCGCTAATGAAGTTCGCCACTCGCGTAACGTGAGTGAGTCAAGTTTTGAGATTAGAAGGTGAACGAGAAAATCATCCCAATGCATCGTGAGACGCTTCAATGCCTGAAGAGCGTGCAAATGTTTTGTGGCACTGTCAGAGAGTCTTCTGAGCTTGACTGCATTTTCCCTTGTCATAATCGGCAAATCGAATATAGCACTGATGTGAGTTTGAACAATCACGCGCTTGTTGTTATACTGCTCCCTGAGAATTGATCACGCGACATCGTAATTAGCGTCCGACAATTCCAATGAACTGATTACAGCGCTTGTATCGGTGACGTTCATAGATACTGAAATCTTTGCATATTTGAGAGCGAGGTGTTGGAATGGATAATGTATCGAAAAACGGGAATCATTCGTCATATTTGCTGGAAAATGTCGATAAATTTAGCTTAAGCAATCGAATGTGCGTACTACTATCTGATTCGCGAACACTTGAGGAGAATGGAAAAAAGATGGACGCTCGCAAAGCGAAGGGGAAATAAGCTCGCGGATTCTATCGAATAACGCATAGAACGTTTCCTCGAAGCGATCTCGATCGCAGCCTTCGGACTCATCTAAAGATTCTAGACGCGATTGCACATCGTTATATTCCGCCCAATATTGCTCGAGTTTCGCCTTCCGCTCTTCGAGTTGAGCCACTATTGACGGGCTAATGGTGGCGATTGACTCTACATAAGTTCTGATACGCGTACATGATGCCTTTATGGTCGCGCGCTGTCGCTTAAGTATCGTCGCTTCTGATTGGTCGACCATGAATGTAAATGCGCTCATATACACGCAACGGACGCGGCGGAGGGAACTTAGTTGGCAATGGAAACAATGGTCTTCCTTATCTTGTTATGCACGCAATTAATCCTAGAGAGGATGCGATAGATGCTAGATGCCTTCCAGTCGAACGTTGTTGGACGGAAATGTTCCTCTTGCAGATGATGCGTCGTTGAAGAATGACTTCTGTTGCAAGTCGTCTAGATTGGGCCTTATTTTCCGTCGTCGATAGGATTCCGCTCGTAAAATGCTGATTCTGAGCCAGGATATGACGTAATATGAGCCGGGCTGCGTCTCTGAAGCTTAGACGCGGGCCTTGCAACTGCTTTATTGAATTGTGTGCTGTCGCTGGCGCGATGCTTGCACTGATTGTTGCTACTGCGACGCCTTTCTCGTCTTAATGAGATATTTGACTGCCAAATGGCTGCTCGCCACTTCACTGAGGCTAAATACTTGAAGTATCCGGCTCGAAGGAGAAATGTTGGTAATCTTGCTGAGTGCACGAAGAAATCGTAATGGCGTGGCCAGGCGATCACCGTCCGAGCGTTTCCCGCGGTATTAATGCTTCGAGGGTATTAATGCACTTGGTCGAGAAAAATGAAATCTTCTTTGCTTTCCAAATTTTTTATTAAAAATGCACGGGCGAACGTGTTTCACAGCGGATACGGAAAGGATCTTAGCGGTAGCGCGGCGATAATTTTGCACGAGACGAGACGCGTGCAGAAGACGAAAAAAACAGTTTATTTTGTTGCCAAGACGATCTGATATTATTTTTTTAAATCGATTACGTGTGATACATGCGTCGTTTAGCAATCGACATCTCGTGGATTCATCGATTTTTCATAGATGCGATTAGGCGATATAACTAGACGTCGTGAATCATAGAGATACCGAACAATGTCCCTTTTTCACAGTAATTACATTTGTTTAGAGATTTGAGAGAAGTGAGAATTTGTTATATAAATAAATCAAAAAACAATAAATGTGATAAATTGAAGGAAATAATCGATCAGTAAATACTATTGCAAATTATTTCTGATTATTCATCAATAAAGAAGTAATCAAAATAATCAGTATCGCTAGCAAATAAAATCTATTCAAAGCATAAATTAGGTTCTATAGAGTTTGCTTCTATTATGCTATTAATTAAATATTTTTATATGTTAGATAATAATATATTCGATTGTTACATTGATTTTTTTTTATAGATATAAAAATATAAAGGATAAGTATTTAACATGGATAGATTATTATTATTTCCTAACTAACAATAAGTAAATAAATTTCCAGCGTATTATTTGGTTTCAATGTAATTTCTTCAAATATTAATAATATTAAACTGTCAGCGAAGTACGAAATTAATACAAGAATGGTATAAATAATAAGGGATATAAGTAACATTAGTTCGATCAATAACAATGATTCGAACACAAATATGCAATTAGTTTAGCGTAAATATTATTAGGCTGTTCTAGATATTGTGGATTCAAATCTTGGCGATGCGATGCGTTTTTCTCGATTAATATTAATTAATAATATTTATAATGATTAATATTTATAATTATTAATTATAGTTAATTATAGTTAATTATAGTTTATATTTATTAATTATATTTAAGAATATAGGTATGCAAAACAGTAAATAATAAATTGAACTGGAAAAATAAAAGTAAATAAGAAATTATAATAAGAAATTACTTTTTTGTTAAGATATAATCATAATCTTTTTATTACATAAATAAATAGTTTTCATTTAAGAAAATTTTTACGTATTAAAAATATATTTTTTTCATTTAAAAAAAATATAAAATTGCAAAATTATATGAACTATTTTTTAATTCTAATAACAAGAAATAACCAAAAATTCTTCAAATCAAAGAAATCGAGTTAATGTGACAATAACTAATAAATAAATAACAATCCATTTATATGTCAGTGACAAATTTTGCATTGCATAAATGTTACACATCCACTTCATCTCAATACATAATTTTTATGTATAAATCATGTAGTCGTTTTTTATATAAATCATATCGCTATTATGTAACTACTATATTCTCCGTAAATTCACGTTTGACATAACTTTTGACATAACTGTTATGAGTAAAAAAATTATTATAAAATTATGTATGAGTTGCGTATTTTGAGATATATCTGTATTTGCTGGGAAGCCTATATTTTATAGTGCATACAAAATGCCATTCTAGATCTAAAGTTGAATCGACAAAATTCGTCAATGCAGGTATTTTATCTAAGGTAAATCATAGTAAATAGGCAAGCGCTATTATTTTAGTTTCAAAAAAAAAATTCAAGTGATAGCTTGAGTTAAAAAAAAACATTAAATAAAGTTATTGAGAGTAATCATTATGTCTTATCCTTATCAACAGATATTTTTGCATGTTTAAGTGGCAATAAATATTTTACGGTAATTGATTTATCAACAATTAGAAATAAGGGAATGTTCTAAGGAATTTTTATTATAAACACTCATATGGATCTCTTTCTATAATAAAATAACTTACGGAGTTAGTTCAGCACCAGGTATTTTCCAGACAATCATAGAAATTATTTTGGTGGGGTTGCCTAACACAAAGTGCTATTTAGATGATATTTTAGTATACAAAGCAACTTTAGAAGATGTTATCAAAATGTCATAAAAAGTTACCTCGTTTAAACGAATTTAATATCAAAGTCAACATAAAGAAATATTACAAACATAAAGAAATTTTACAATGGAAACGTAGAATTTTTAGGATACATTGTGGATGCGGATGGTGTTCACCTCACTAAAAATAAAATTGAATGTATCAAAAAAGCGTCTTCATCGTAGTTAAAGTCATACGTAGACTTACTTAATTACTACGATAAATTTGTACCAATGTTGTCATCTGTATTAAAAAATTATATTTATGTAAACTCGTACAAAATTCCAATGGACAGAAAAACATGAAAAAATTTTTCAATTAAGTAAAAACTTACGTCAAATAATATTTTAACACATTATGACCCTAAATTATCTATTTTTATAACATGTAAATCAAGCGGCTATGGAATGGATGTATTAAGCCATAAAATCAATAAAGAAAATAAACCTGTAATGTTTGC